GGGTGTGTAAATTAGTTCAACCATTGTGGAAGACAATGTGGCGATTCCTTAAGGACCTAGAAATAGAAATTCCATTTGACCCAGCAATCCCATAACTGGGTGTATATCCAAAGGATTATAAATCGTTCTACTATAAGGACACATACACACGAATGTTCACTGCAGCACTGTTTACAATAACAAAGTTCTGGAACCAACCCAAATGCCCATCGATGATAGACTGGACAGGGAAAATGTGGCACATATACACCACAGAATATTATGCAGCCATCAAAAACAATGAGTTCGTGTCCTTTGTAGGGACGTGGATGAACCTGGAAACCATCATTCTCAGCAAACTGACATAAGAACAGAAAATCAAACACCACATGTTCTCACTCATAGGTGGGTGTTGAACAATGAGAACACATGGACACAGGGAGGGGAGCATCACACACTGGGGTCTGTTTGGGGGAAATAGGGGAGAAACAGCGTGGGGTGGCGAGTTGGGGAGAGATAGCATGGGGAGAAATGCCACATATAGGTGATGGGGAGGAAGGCAGGAAATCACGCTGCCATGTGTGTACCTATGCAACAATCTTGCATGTTCTTCACATGTACCCCAAAACCTAAAATACAATAAAAATATGTAAATAAGTAAAATTTCTGATATAGTGAGGCGTCTGGTAAATTCACACCATTTTTTTAAGGAAAATATTAATATAAAAATAAAACATTTTCTAAGTGTAAAAACTGAAAAACAGGGCCGGGTGCGGTGGCTCACGCCTGTAATCCCAGCACTTTGGGAGGCCGAGGCAGGTGGATCACGAGGTCAAGAGATCGAGACCATCCTGGTCAACATGGTGAAACCCCGTCTCTACTAAAACTACAAAAAATCAGCTGGGCATGGTGGTGCGTGTCTGTAGTCCCAGCTACTCAGGAGGCTGAGGCAGGAGAATTGCCTGAACCCAGGAGACGGAGGTTGCGGTGCGCCGAGATCGCGCCATTGCACTCCAGCCTGGGTAACGAGAGCGAAACTCCGTCTCAAAAAAAAAAAAAAAAAAAAAAAAAACTGAAAAACCGTAAATCCTAATTTTCAAGCATTTTATTACTACATGGGTTAAAATATCTGTGGCCAATAATACAATATTCAAAAAATTGTAATTCAGATAATTTGTATGTAAAACAATTTTCTTATGAGATATATTAATTGTATCCTTTAAATTTTCATGTAAAATTTACCAATGTGTGTATATATACAAATAATTATGTAATAAAATAAAATATATATTATATATCAGTATGTAATTTTAAAAAATCACCAGCAAAAGAAAGAATGCAGAGCCACAGCCCACAAGCTGAGCCAAAGGCAGACCCGCACGAGGAGGTAGGAGGACTACAGAGAAAGGGTACTGGAGTACAATGGCCACACTCGTGTCAGCATGTCGCACCCAAACACACACACGCATACACTCAACACACTCAGAAAGATACACACACACACACACAGAGGAAGACACACAGAGACAACCAACACTCGCACGGAAACACACACTGCCAGGCAGCTCCTGAGCTTGTGGGGTTCTGCTCTCTGCCGGGAAGCCCCTTGGGGAGAGAGCAGTCGCGTGGCAGGGAGGCAGGCCATACCTGGAAATGCCAGCCTGGAGGGCTTTCAATGAGGGGTACCTTCACACTGTCTGGGCAGGCCTGAAGCATCGTGGGGATACTTGGGGATCGCCCTGGGCATCCTTAAAGCCCCGCCAGATCTTTTCTCAGCCTGGTTCTGCCTGCCGGATTCCTGAAATCGCGGGACCATGGAAATGATGCCCAAAGAGGGAGGACATTGCTCAACTCCGAGGCACTGCCACAGAGGGCCCCTGCTTTACCAAGCTGCTTAGACCATTCCTTAGGAAACGGTGGCTGTGAGTGTGACGCGAGTCCCGGCTCAGCGCCTGCGCTTGTCAGGCTGCTTGCGCATGCGCATTCACGTGCCCTGTCGAGGAGCTGCAATGTTGGCGCTGTACAGCTGCTGCCGCACAGGTGCACGGTGGAGGCGGTGACAGCGGTGGCCCCTGAAAGGAGGCTGCACACAGGAAGCAGCACAGAACACCGGTATTAACCTCAGTACCTCCTTGAACTGACTTTCCTGTTCGGCCTGGGTGGAGGAAGACCACACTTCAGAGCGTGAGGTGGGCACTCGGGACTGCTCTTCCCATTGGATCGCACTTGTCACCACAGGCGGGTCTGTGACACAGTTCAAGGCTTCTTCAGGGGGTTACCGCCAGAGGAGCCAGGAGGATCCAGAAAAGTGCAAAGGGCCCCAATCCCCACACCGGGATCATTACCCACCACCTGGCCTGCAGCCAGCCACTCCCCATTCTCCTTAGATGGGTGAACTCCCTGGCAACCAACAGGTTCACCGCTGATAAAACCTGTAGGGGCTACAGCAAAAAGACCTCAATCAATCTCATATTTAAAAAACTATTAGTCCTTATAAAAACATATAGGTTTAGTTCTACAGCAAAAAGTCCTCAGTCAATCTCATATTTAAAAGAAAAGTAGTACAACACAGTAGATACTCATAAAGTTTCAAATACATATAGTTTCAAATCAATAAGAGGATCACAAGCTCTCTAAGCTTTTAACTACTCTTTCATATTAATCATAATCCTCAACCCCAAAAGAATTTTCCAGAATTAAATTATTGTTCATTAGAGAAGATTGTTATTTTTTTCTTTCTTTTTGATGTCTTATATATGCCATTGTATTAGGTTTATGGTTGGTATTTCATTTTTGACTTACTGAAAAAGTTATACTGCAGTCGGAATAATTTCTGTGTATCTCCTGAACTTGGAACTACTTACTACTTTATCCTATATTTTAGGAAATTTCACCTTCATGATAGCTGCCCAGTCATTCAACATAAACTTCCTCAAAAACATTAGCCAATTACTCTAATCTTTCTTAGCTTTGGTGAAGGACTTTGTCTTTCTCTACTATAATTTTTATTTGCTCTTTCTCATTGGTGACATGAAAAAAAATAAAATTTAAGACGTCATATCATTCTCTGAGATACTAAGACAAATTATATTCTTAATAACCAAGAGAGATTGCATGATTTGAAAGTAAATATCTAAAAACCTAAAAACACTAATATATTTGTTTTATCAATGTGTATTCTTTCTGAAATCAATAGTTAATTTTTTAAGTAAATATTTGATTTTTAAAGTCAGTAGCTGAAAATATAACAACACGAATATATTTGTTTTATCAATATGTTTATTCTTTCTAAAATGTTTAATTGCTGTGTCCTCAGTTAATTTAACAGGGCTTCACCAGAAGACAATTTTTTGAAAGAAATAAGAGCAGGTTCCCCTATAAAGTCCCTGTACCAAGTCTAAGAACCTTTATGCCACGGTCCCTTGAAACTCTGATGCCTTTTAAATTAGCTTTCTTTTTGTTCACCCACTCATTCCCCCACCCCACCCAGAGCTTTGATCAATTTCTTCTAGACTGTTGAGAACAGCCAATGGGACGCATCAACTAAGACTCCTGATTAGCATTATGACTCATTAAAGAAAAAAGTACCAGACCAACAAAGAAAGAAAAACAAAACAAAAAATAAAATATGCCTGGGACATCTTTTCATCTTTCTTTGTTTTGTCAGAGAGAATCTTTTCACACATTTGTTTTGGTAAGCAATCACAAAGTGCTAATTATGTTCTTATCAATAAAACTTCTCTCTTTTCACCATTGCTTATATATTTCACCATTTAGAATATACTAACAGAGCTTAGTAATTTTATTGTTTTGACATAAAACATCATAATCTTTGTACAAAGTGTTTAGGCTAAATCATGTTTATGGCCTCTAAAGGGAGACCTTTGTCAACATCTCTTGCCAAGAAAGAAACAATTCCATGTGTCAGATTATCACTCTTATTTACATCTACATCCAGAGTATAACCATGTGTAGGAGTTCAATAAGAGTTTAATAATATTTTAAGAAAGATCCTACCTTGCAATTATTATTACAGTTGTTTTGTGAGGAGAAAATAACAAACATGGAAACTTAACACGTAAGACAAGGATTTAGCATTCAACTTATCTGACAAGATTTTCCCTTGCAAAGTTGCATACTGTATTCAGTTCTTCAATCTTCAGCCTTGGGTTTTTTTTTCAACACAGTCTGCCTTTTTCTTCTCTCTCTAGGAACTCTTTCCTGCTATACAAGGGATAATCAAATAAAACATAACAAAACAAAATAAGGATATGAAGGAAACAATTTTAAGCAAGAACATTTCTCAACTTAACATTGTGTCAAAATGCTTAACTTATTCCAATCTCACGTTTTTTTTCCTCAGGATGAAAGCATGGTTTTCCTCCTCTGGTTGTTTGGGAAAATATAAACATATATACATCTAATATTTAATTAATGAAAAAATAAATGTCCTCTGTTAAACATTATTGCTTACGTTAGGTACTTGAAAAGTTAGCTACTCCCCGCAAACCCTCCCGTCCGCCGCAAGGCACGTTCCTCCCAGCCCTGCCGTCCCGCCCGCCGCGCGCGCCTCTGGGGCTAGAAGCCCGCCCCGTGGCCCGCACTGCTGCGCTTGTGGCTGCGCTCCCGGGGTTGCGTGTTCCAGGCGGTGACCCGCGGGACGCCGCGGCGTCGTCCACCTTCTTGCGCCTGACTCCGGGTTGCGGCCGCGTAGTGCCGTGCAGGGCCCAGCCCTGGGCTTCCGTGTCCTGGCGGGGTGGTGCAGTCGCGTCCTGGGGCTCTCCCTCGCCCACTGCAGGCGGACCGGAGCGGTTGCAGGGTGTGGTGTCCGCCCCGTCCCAGGTTCGTGCTCCTCCCTCTGGTCGCCCCGCTCCTGTGTTGGCCGCAGCTCTCTCATCACTCCCCTCGCGGGGCGGTCTCCCGGCAGAGCCACGTGGGTGGGTGGGCCGACCACGGCCTCCGCCTGCCCGCCCGTTAGTCTCCTCCTCTCCGAGACCGGACCTTAGATCAGAAGTGGTGAC